CTTGTTCCCTATTGGAATTATCCATCCATCCATTTTCTGAACACCCTTGTCCCTCAGTGGGGTCAGGAGGGGTGCTGGTGCCTATCTCCAGCTAACGTTCCGGGCGAGAGGCGGGGTACATCCTGGACAGGTCGCCAGTCTGTCGCAGGGCAACACAGACACACAACCATGCGCGCACACACACACACACCTAGGGGCAATTTAGACAGACCAATTAACCTAACAGTCATGTTTTTTGGACTGTGGGAAGAAACCGGAGTACCTGGAGAAAACCCACGCATGCACAGGGAGAACATGCAAACTCCATGCAGAAAGACCGGGGCTGGGAATCGAACCCAGAACCTTCTTGCTGCACGGCAACAGCTCTACCAACTGCGCCACTGTGCAGCCCCTATTGGAATTATTTAAAGCTAAAATGTCACATACTGTTAAATTCCTCGAAAGATCCACGATCGAAATGTTTGAAGACGTCTAAATATTCGAACACTTCCAGTTTGACTTTTTTTTTTTTTTTTTTTTAATTTTTTATAAAATTGACAGTGTTCCGTTTTCTGAAAGCACACACATTAAGTAAGATTCCCTGTAGGGGGCGCCTCCTGAAAATGAATTTAATCATTTAGTCCCAGGCTCTGTTGCCAGGTCGTTTCCCATTCCACCTTGTGGAGGTGTGACACAGGAAGGCGTGCATGTGAGACTGTGCTGCTCACCATACTTCCTGAATGACCTGTAAGGGTGGAGCAGCAGGACAATTACTGGACTGGCATCTCCAACTGGAATCTGCAGACCTCCTTTTTTTTCCCACCCCACACACACACGCACACATACACACACAGGTCCCCATGCACACACCAGTCCCACACATTAGCCTTTCGGAAGTCGCAGGGCCATAGAGCCCCTGAAAAACCTCTAGGAAGTGTAATTACAGAGAAGTACAACTCCAGCTCCCCCCCTCCCCCTCCCTTCAGTCCCCCTCCTGTTCTCCAGCTCCTTCTGTCTTCTCCCTCCGTCCGGTTGCCTGCTGCTCTGGAAACACGTTAAAAGGCTCTCTGGGGCTTAATTAGCGGGCTACACAACAAGCCGTGCATTCTTGGCCTGGTTTGAACACATGCGAAGGTAAAGGCCCATGTGCACAGACCGTGACACAATTATCACGCACTAATGGTGGTGATCACCAGGGGGCAGCAGTGTTCCACTGGTACGAGTTAGATCCTGGTGTTAGGGGGGAAAAAAAGAGCATCTGTATCTGGGATTTAAAGCTTCATTTAGATTCTGATATACATGAATTATATATGTGATATAAAGCACAGACAAGCTCAAAGTGATGTTTTAAGAGTTGAGAAACTGAAGCTCTAAGATGGGATTTTTCAAATTTAAAAACTCCTAATCGTCCAGCATCAGGATCAGGAGTTTTTTTTTTCCTTTTTTAACTTCCTGTCCTGTTAGGTGAGTGGAAGTCATAAATTTGGTGAACATTTACTGCTGCTGCACCTGGTTCACTCCTTTACCACCATCCCCTCTTTCTCCACACACACATGCATAAACGCTTCATCCAGGACCCTCAGTACCTTGGGCATCCGAAATTAAAATCTTCTTTCTCGCCCACTGTTTTGTTCAGTCCCCACCCCTCCAGTACTTTATTGTTCCTGGTACTTTGAAAACTGAATCTCTGACGAAACGGTTTGGTTAATCATGTTAGACAGATTTATTTAATAATTAGATTAGAAGCAAAAACATTTATCGGAAAAAGTTTTCATGGAAACACCCAGAGGCACCAGGAAGCCTTTTACTCATTATTTGTAAAGGGCATGGTTTATCTTAAATTAAAGTTTGGACTTTAAAAGGTATCATCCAGTGGCGATTTTGTTTTAAATTTTTTTTCCCTCGCAAATGTCCACCAGAAGTAGCTTGGTAATGATGAATGAATTTACAGTAGAATTTCAGACATTTTTTTTTGTAAACCACTGATGAAAAACAAAAACTGGGAATTTTTGCTCTGCACATATTTGGGTGAGTGACATCACAACAGGCATATTATTGGAGCAGATAAGCTATCGTTGGTAACTCTGCTGCATTTTGTGTTTTTGTTGCACAAAATACAAGTAAACTCTCTTCAAAAACCCTCTGGCCAAACTTTAATTAAACTTAAGAAGTCCTTTTTTTAATTTTTAGAAAAATATTTTTTTTGTTTGACTCTGTTTTATATATATATATATATATATATATATTTTTTTTTTACAGTGATTGAAATGCTTTTAAGATGTTATCTTTTCCTTTTTTTTACAACCATTGTGAAATGCCCCTCTGGGGGCATTTATAAAGTTATCATAAATTAACTTTATTTTATTGATCTAAGTAATGTTTTATATATATATATATATATATATATAGTTTTGTAGTTTGACATTCTATTCTCCATTTTTACTATCTTTCTTATTCTTCTTTATTTTCAATTTTCCCTTTTGACTTTATCGAGAATGGCTGTTAGAAAAAAAATCAGATTGATCTGAATACATTTGATTAAAAAACATGCAAATTCAGAGGGGAGAAAAAAAAAACCCATACAGATCCACAAAGTCATTCTCAAGGAACTGGGATCACATGATGTCATCAGAGGTAGTGGCGCAAAAAGTGGGTATGCAACGCATGCAACGCATAGGGGCGCAGCACCAGAGGGGGCGCCAAAACCCCGTCTGGAGGGTGCCGATTATGCTTTCCCATACACTTCTACGCGCCTTGCGCTCCTTCACCTCACGCACATAATGAGGTAAATCTAGCGCGAGTTTCACACTTAACGTATCCTTGCCCCGGGGGAGGAGGGGGGAAGCGAGCGTATGTTTTCTACGCTGACGTTCCTTCCTGGGGAGGCGTGGGGGGGCGCCGATGTATGTTTTCGCATCCACCTGAATAATGTGCAGTTGCGCCACTGATCAGAGGCATGTGTACATAAAAGCTTTTTGGAGAGTATGTTTTAATAACATTTTTAAACAAAAATAGCAGATCAAATCCCAGAACTAATCACGGTTTGCTTTTCTCTATGTGATAAACTATATCCCAACTGTAAGTTTGCATAATTTCACAGAGAAGTTTGGCTTGCAAGCTTCTCTTGGTGACGACGTCTCACGTGTGGCACTATACGTCCAGTTGTTGCCTGCTCACGAGTGTGCAGATCACTCTGGTGTTGAGCAGCGGCTATGATGGCTAAAGCTCGGCCATAAAATACTTTGAGAGACCACCTCTGTGGACCACCTCCCTTTTTTAAGAGTGTACAAACGTCTTTGTGTTCGCAAATCCATAAGCTGCTCCTTTCGTCTCCCCTGGCTTTGCTCCTTCTCTTTTGGGGAGTTGCGGTTTGTTGTTGTTGTGCAGCGGAAACAGCAGAAGGGTGTGCGTCTTTCCTTGCCCTGTTGTTTGCTGGTCCTCTTTGGTGTTCTCTTGCATTGTGGGAAGTCTGCATTTTTTTAATTATGAGGTGTGAAAGCCTGAAAACCAAATGGGTGTGAAGGCCAGCACACAAAGCGGTGGGATTAGTTGGAAGGAGCATCCAGGCGTTCTCAGATTTAGATTGCGATACATCTGCAAGCCATTAGATATGCAGCTAGAAAACGGTCCTAAAGTGCTGCACAAAAGTGTTGATACTCGTTTAGGTTTTTTTTTTTTTTTTTTCCATTTTATGTTACGACATGAAAATCACTGTACTTTAGTGGAATTTTATGTGATTGGCGGCGAAACAAAGTTGTGTATAATTGTGACCTGGAAAGAAAGTGAAAAGTGGTTTGGACTTTTGTTGTGAATTGGCACTTTATAAATAAACCAAATTGAATTTTTTATATAAAAATTCTATAAAATCAATGAATAAATCTGAAAAGTGTGGCGTTCATTTGTATTCAGCCTGTCTAAGTCAAGCTACATACATGTTGAGAAAGATATTTTTTGCTATTTCACATTACAAAATGGCTTCGACTCTCTCCGATTGCTACAAACGATCCCTTTTATGTGATTCTGGACTTTGACTGGACCATTTTAACATAGCCGTATGCTTGAGCTAAATTACTGCATTGTCCCTCTGGCTGTGCTTAGAGTCTCGGCACTGCTCTCTTTATATAACCATGTCTTACCAACTTCCTTCTCCCCACCGCATGATAGTCCCGTCTCCATACTTTGCTGTGCAGGTGTTATTTGTTCGATAAAATTGTCAATTTACTTTTTTTCTTTCGGTGCATATATATATATTTGCCACTTGTTTTTAAATTTTATTTTTTTTTAAAAAATCTTGATAACCATGTGTAACTTTCTTTCAATTTTCAAGTGCACATTTCTTTATGTTGGCCTACTGCATAAAATCATAGTAAAAACATTAACTAGAGGGTGTAACATGGCAACACATGAACACAAATGCCTTGTTGGCTGTAAATAGTTAAACTCACCTAATTGTTTTAAACTTGGCTCCGGTTTTGAATGTTCCCCCGCTGAACACTTGATGGCACTGGCAGTTCACAGTTGCAAGCCACCAGCAGTGAGTTCCTGCACACACGCTCCTGTTTTCCAAGGATCAGGAGGCTGGACTTTGAAGTTAACAGTGCCAGCCTCAGGCACAGGAAGTTGCCTACTGTTGTGTTACTGACTTAGCAAGTCCGTTGGGGAGGAGGAGGAGAGGGTTAAAAAAAAAAAAAAGCCTGAGCACGCCTGTTGACTAATACACCACACATTCATCACTGACTCCTAGCAGTCGCTCCGACTTTCCTCTTTGTCATATTTTGGCAGCCAGCGTATCTCATGAGAAGGAGAGGGGGAAAGACATTGCTTTTAAATAAAGAGTATTGATTCACTGTTTAATGAAAGTACATGACATTAATCCGTCATAGTTGTACATTAATACAGTAAAGCCTTTGTGGTAAACCTCCAGTTATCTCCAGAGCGTGCCTGGGAGGGAGAATTAATTGATGAGAGTGTTCCTTCGGGAGCAGGGGCGATTAATCCAATCTGTCCTTTTTCTGCCGCAGACACAGATCCGCGGGTTCTGGAGAAGCAGGAGCAACAGCAGCCCACCTACCTGGCCCTAAGCTACATCAACAGGTACGCACAGTCAATTACTCAAGCGCGCATCTAAAGAGGGCAGCATCGCTCCACTGTGAGAAATCGGCACTCATGCGTGCACTCATGTGACTTGGGAGATCTCGGATGAGTTATGTCTTCCCATAGCACTGACTCATCCACAAAACGAGCGCACAAAACCACACGAGATAATCGCTCTTGGCTCCCCAAGCTGCCAGAGGCAGCATTTCAGGCTGCTTGTGTTTGTGTGTGTTTTTTAGTTTTTCTTAGTTGTTTTTTTTTTCTTTGTTTTGTGTGTGTGTGTGGTGAACCAAACTGTCACATCACACTTAATACCCCATCAAATTACTACAAGATGCAACTCTGAGTAGATTGTGATAAGACAAAGGAGCGCAGACGAGGGAGGTTTGTTTTCAGTCATAATTGCTCCAGCGGTGAGATCGTAAATGTCATCAGTATTTATTGTTCGTGGTGTCAGGACGGCTCATTCAGTGGCTCAGTTTTGTTTTATGGCAAAATATGTGGTTGTCTCAAGGTAAAAGCAGAAAGGGAGATGAGATAAAGGCCTCCAAGCTGTAGCTGTTGTAACAGATGGAAAGAAAAAAAAAAGTAAATCAAAGCGTACAACCAGCTGGAATATGGAGGAATTTGTTATTGGTATTTGGACGTCATGTACGTGTTCCCACCAATGGGTTGCTGGGGGCGGGGAGGACAACAGACTAACAAACGCGCCCACCTCTCCCATCTGCACGTGTATGGTTAATAATAGTCGCCCCACAGTTGCAAACCTAGTAACATTTTATTTGCTATACTTTGCATAAAAAAAGTTTTTCATATGGCCAAAATGAGAATCAGCAAGTCAGGCTTTTTTTAAAATCAGCAATGGGCCAGAAAATTGCAATCGGTGCACCAGTTCTTTCAATTATACAAATCACTAAATTGGTTGTTCAAAGGATCAACAATTAACACCATATATCTATATAGGTTTTGAATATGTCTACCTATTGGACATACAATTCCTATGGAAAAAAACTTGAAAAATTTATGTATTCATCTTATATGTACTGTATTTACACCTCTCTTAATTTCTATATTTCTTTTTCATCTTTCAATCTTTACCAACACTCTCTTTCTCTAACTATCTTGTATTTCCTTGCGAAACTCAGCATTATACAGTTAAGAGGAGTATTTCCCCTCTGACAGCCAAACCACGTCAAAAGTGTTTTATTCGGTGATTGACTGGATATTTGCTGAGTGTCGGGGCATGAACCACTTGGCCTATTTTGTATACTGGGACCTACGCCATTATGTAGCTGGCGGAGAGTTACGTCTGCTGCCACGTGCAGGTTAGTAAAGGCTAGCCTACATGCGCCTCTGAAAGTTAGGCTTGAGCGCGCTGTGTTATATTTGACCCGCACGTTGGTGCGGTGTTCTCCCAAAATTAACCCGCACAGAGGGATCATGTAAATGCAATTAAAGTAAAATAATTTCATAAATTGTGGCATTTTACAGCACTCGCCAAAAGTTTTAAAAAATCCGACGTTTAATTTGCGTTCAGTGATTAAAATTTTTGTGGCTTGAGAAAAATATGCGGTTTGGATTACTGTTCTGCTGAAAGACCTACCGATGACCCATTTTCAGTTATCTGGCACAATAGTGGAACATTTTAAATAAAACTTTGGTGAACTTCACCTGATTTTTATTTTGAAGTGTCCTGATTTTTAATCCAAAAGACTCTCTACCTTACTTCACAGAACGCATGAGGTGCTTTTGCATATCATGATTTTGTTTATCCTACATCCACCTGGAGCGTGTTGTTGCTGAAAATCTCCTGAAATGTTGTCATCTGACCAGAGTACATGATTACAGATCAAATGAAAAGCATGTGAATACTCTGATCAACGTAAAAAGTAAGACAGAAATAGCAAAGAAGTTTCTGTAGGAGCTGCTATGGGTGTCAGTGTGGTTCTCGTAGTCTTATTTAAAACAGTGCTTGTTTTAAATGTTTTTTTTTTCTTCCACCAACTCAAAAAGAGACTAAATTAAAAGCTGAAAGTTCTAAACCTTTCAGAAAACCTATAAACACATCCGTCGGAAACTTGCATAATGCTTTAACTTAAAATCCATTGCCCCCAGCTGGGAGTAAACATATCTTTAGTGTCTATAAGAGATGATCAGGAACAGATAGCAATGGTTTTACAACTTAACTATATGCTCATACGATAATTCATCACTGATTTACGTGGACTCAGGGTATTTCTGTCTCGAAACACATGTATATGGTTAGAGCATTAACCTGGCGGAGATCTTACTCAATGTGAAACCAATGAGGCCATTATGAATGAAAAACAAGGTCATGTAGCTGTTTGTTATGCTATGTCTTTAGATATGCCTATTATAAAAGCATTTATGTACATCTGGTCAGCCACACCCGTCGTGGCGTTTTGTTGGGACTTTAAACCTACATTGTGTAGTTCATAAATGCGTGTTACATAGTTTGAATAATTATTTTTTCTAGAATTATAAAGTCATGAGGGAGCTCTTTCGTTCCACTTCACAACAATGCTCTACTTTGTGTTGATCTGTAGCATAAAATCCAAAGAAATGCATTGAATTGTGTGACTGTACCAGACGAAAATATGAAAAAAGTTGTCGCTATACAACTCTATACATATAAAGTCGTGTTCGGTAAATTAGAATGTACGTCCCAATGAGTCCCGTGTCAGATTAAAGTACCCTTTGAAAATAACCTCAAGAAGGTATTAAACATACTTTTCATGAAGCCCAGGTTTTTTTTTTTTTTAAGTTTATGTTTTTGCTCTACTCTGATGTCATGTTTTCATTAACTGTTAGCAGAAAATCATTATCCCTTATTGATAAATCTACTTTTCAATAAAACTCAAATTTTCTGAACGGATCTGTATTTGTGGGAATGTGTAAACGTTTTGCAATGCCGGGGTTGCGAGTTAGCAGATTTTCAAGAATAAGAAAAAAAACCCACGATTTGGTGAACCTTTGTGTGTCCTCAGGTTCATGACAGACGCAGCACGCCGCGAGCAGGAGACCATGAAGAAGAAGGCCACGCCCAAGCTGTCCCTGTCGATCACAGGCGGCATGTCCCGGAACAGCACGGCCACGCCGCCGCGCCACACCAGCGGCAACCTGACCCCTCCCGTCACGCCCCCCATCACCCCTTCCTCCTCGTTCCGCAGCAGCACGCCTACAGGTACGGCACGGCACGGAGCGGAAGGACGAACTGGTTGCTCGCGATGACAACGGACTGAGGCACGCAAAATCGTCCCTTTGGGCAGTTCACACTCAGACTTCTGGTTACGCTATAGGGAGCTCGTAACGTTAGAGGAATGCGGCTCAACCGACGACGCCGCATTAGTCAGAAAGCAGAGCTTTTGCAATGCGTGATGACCTTTAATCATTGCAGCTTAAAGAAATGATTTGCCGTCATTAAAAGCAGCCAGATTGAAACTCTGGAGCAGGAGAAGTCTGCGGTCAGGGTGGAAAGAAGAAAAGCCAACCGCTATCTGCTGCAGAGGTGTGCGTGTTGTTTGTGAGCCAGCTTTAGTGGCTCCTGCAGCGAGCGAAGCAGTCAACACTTTGCTAATTACACAGCAGCTGGCCTGCTCTGCGCTCGCATCGGGGCTGAGTGTTGCACAGCCCAGGAGCAGATGTCTAATTCCAGGCCGAGCGGGTCCAAGCGCAGCGTTAGGTCTGCGATTACACACCGACACGCACGAACCCACACCCTCTTTCAACATGTGCCAAGGTGCCATCCACTTCCTCATGCTGAGGTGCAGCATTTCCTGTTCCATGGTGGTGGTGGTGGGGGGAGGTTCACTGGGTCTGTATGTTTGTGTGGCTGGATGTTTCAGGTATTCAGATGCATCTGCGTGTGTGTGTGTGTGTGTGGAAATGGAATGTTGTGCACTGAGTAAAGCGTTTTTTTCCAAGCTGAGCAGTAGGGGATCCCTCCCACTTAATGATCCCTTTTTCTGTGGGTGTGAGTGCCTGTGAGGTAAAATGCAGAGAATGGCAGACACCACATTTGTTTTTCCTACTCGTGAGCAAAAGTAACATCTGAACGCAGAGAGTATTGCTAAGAAAGAGTCACACGCATAACCATTTAGGATGCCTTAAATGTGTGTAAAAAAACAAAGCAAATGCAAATTCTTGATTTTTTTTAAAAAAATTTTTGTACTAAAATTTTTGAAAACTACTTTCTGTCTTGCTAAAGTATTTATTCCCCTTGCTCTTTTCTAAAATGTTCCCCCTTGACAACCATAAATCTCATTCTGTTTTTTGACAGGGTTCTGTCTGATCACAGATCCTGACCTACCGAGTCTGATTTTGGCCGATACCGACTTTTTCTTTTTGTCTGAAAAGTCGCTAAGTACAGTGATAAAAATTGCTAAGTTGGCAACAGTGGGGTGACTTGGCTGACTGGTGGCAACTGGGGTGATTTAAAGACCTATTCAAGATTCAAGATACTTTGTCATTCACATCACGTATCACATGAGGTGGAACGAAATTGAGAGTCACAGCCCCAGTTACATCCAAATATAAAAATATAAATATAAAAATATAAAATATAAAAATATAAAGTCGCTACAAGAGCACAATATTATAGGTAGGAAAAGTGTATAGCTAAGAGCAGTGCAATAAGGGAGGACGATGGGAGTTTAAGAGTCGCACAGCTTCTGGTATGAAGCTGTTTCTCAGTCTGGTTGTCCTGCATTTGATGCTCCGCAACCTCCTACCTGAGGGGAGCGGGACAAGAAGTGAGTGTGCTGGGTGAGTAGGGTCCTTCATGATGCAGGAAGCATCGCAGAGGAAGATGAGATCGCTTTTCGATTAACCCTTTTAGACCCGAATTTCAAACGTCTGCCTATATAAATCTTCCTTATTTTAATTGTAAGTAGTTATTTAAATGTCCTGTGAGATGATATACTTACCCATGTACCCATAACAACTGGAACTTTCAATATCCAACAAGTCATTTTCACAATTTACCGTCTATTAAACGAGTGCCCCCCGGATTAATTTCACTCGCTGCAGCTGCAGCTGTGAAATTACCGTAATAACCCGATATTGGCTGGAAAGTGCAACGTCTCCCCTTTCAGAAACCGTTGGAATTTTTCAGATAGCGCCAAGTGTGGTGGAATTACGGTACTGCAAATGTTTACATGTCGGCGGCGACAGGTTCGGTTCTAGAAGGGTTAAAGTGTCGGCCGATCGGAGATTTCCCAAAAATAAGAAAATTGGGGCCGTTAATTTCATTGGAACTTTTTGCGATGGGCCAACACAAAGCAGTGCATAAATATACGATGGATGAAGGAAAAACCAAAATTCCAAAAAAAAAAATAAAAAATCTTGTACGAATTGAAATCTGAAAAGTGTGGCAGGCTTTTTAATGCGCTCTCCCTGAATGAACACTTTGTAGAACTGCGTTACGTGCAACAACCAAGTGACGAGACTAAAATTTATGCTAAATATTTCTCTGACTCTCTCAGAATTAATTGTCTGTAATCATGACTTTTCGCATCTTGCCATAGGTTCTTAACTGGACTTTGACTAGACCATTCTGACACAGAAATATGCTTTGGCTTAAACCATTTCCTTGCAGCTTCCTGTGTTCTGCTCCATTTATCTTCCCACCAGCTTCAACCAACTTCCTTGTTGCATACCCACAGCATGATGCTGTCACCCACAATTAGTCACCATGGGGAAAGTTCTGGCTTCATTTGACCAGAGTACCTCCCTGCCATGGTTTGTGGCCAGCTTTACGGCCACAAATCATGGGAGGAAAAATTAGGAAAAATGCCCTAAATGCTGAAAAGGTAATTAAAAATCTCCCAAAGCATGACGCTACCACCAGCGCCATGGAGTTTGAGTTTCCCATCAAACAGTAACATTTGACGCGTTGGAAAGCGCTGAATTTCATTTGTGCTTGGCAGGGTAAAAGGGGCTCAGTACAGATTCTCTCCTCCAACATTAAAACCCCGACCCAGGCTTGTGCTTGCAACATGACTAAATGTGAGAACTTCAGTGAAGCCACCCCATCGTGTTCCATCTGTGTGATAACAAATGTTTTTCTTGTTTCCCGGTGGCTCCAGGCAGCGAGTATGACGAAGAGGAGGTAGACTACGAGGAGTCGGACAGCGACGAGTCGTGGACCACAGAAAGCGCCATCAGCTCCGAGTCCATTCTGAGCTCCATGTGCATGAACGGGGGAGAGGAGAAGCCGTTCGCCTGCCCCGTCCCCGGGTGTAAAAAGAGATACAAGGTGAGGTTAGATTCACAAGTCAGGCCCCCGCCATAGGACATGAGCTCTCTGCCGCGATTGCATCTACACTGCTGCTTTTGTTTGGGTATCACATGTCGGGACAGATCGCTTGGAAAGAACCCAGCATAAATCCAGGCTGTCCTGATTGGAATCAGCGTTAAATATATGATGGTGCATTTGCTTTGGTTGATATTTATCGCAGCTCGTAACAAGAGCCCTCATTCAGCCTGCTGTCTCGGCGTCTAAATTAATAGACAGTGTTGGATATTACTCTTTTGTGCCCCATTAAGATCGGGGGAGTGGGGGGGCGAAGTGGGAAAATCCTTATCTGGGTACTGAAATGGCCCTCTAGAGCTAATCGGCATTACCTCACCGCCACTAAGCTAGAAGAAATGAGTTTAACATGTTTTCTTCTTCTAATTAAATATTTTTTGGCTGATTTTGGGAACATTTCCATGGTGATAAAGCAACACTGGGAGGAAATTAGTTGTCAGGCAGTTAAATTTACTTGCTCTGTTATTTGAGGACAAGTCGGTGGTAATTCTCCTTCTATTTGGATCTCTGAGAGGAGACATGCTGGGTATGAGTCAAAAGAGTTTGTAATAGCAACACATTTTTTTTTATTTTATAAGGATATTAATGTAATGCATCTACACAGCAAAGTGTGTTATTGTGAAGTGAAGTTTCACGTTTTGGTATATCTTGTGTTAGAACGGCCCAAATCCAATTGGGAGTTTTTCTAAAAAGTCTTGGTGATCTTTAGACTGAGCTATTTGGGGGGGGGGATCAGATATCATCTTCACTCAAACTCACTTGGGGATTATTGAGTTAAGGAGGAAGAGACTGCAGAACGGGCCTAGAAAAAAACCCAAGCCGATCCCGTCGGCGTTGTGTCCGAGCCCGAGCCAACAGGACATATTATTTTAATTAAGATTTAACTGTTGTTTCCAGACCACCATTTGAGTAAGCACTGAACAACAGCAGTAAACATCTTCCAGTTCCGTTTTGTTGCTTGTTGTAACCGCATGGCGAGTCAAGTACAAATCATTTGTGACGATGTGTGATTGATAGCAAAACGAGGCTGCGTGCGCATTTATTGTACGCTGCACTTGTTACTGTCTAATGAACCTCAACACCTTACTGTCTTTCTTTCCTCAACAGTGTGAGCTGTCCACTCCTCTATTTAAACTATAATAAGTAGATTAATGCAACTTTATGTTGTCACCTGCCTAAAATAATGGCCTAAGTGGGGAAAAAAAGTGTATCGCCAGCCCTTTCTTTCTAAAAGGTGCTTTAGACAGACTCGGTCCAAAACCCTAAACTCTTTGAGGAAATACAAATTCATGGCACTCTTCTGCCATTTTCATTCATGTAAATTTCTGGAAACCTCGTCCCCTTTTCCATTTCTATTTCAACTTCAGAGTCTTGGTGTGTGATTTAAAATTATCTAGCCTTTATTGGTATTAATGTAGCCACATATTTTAGAATTTCAGTCTATATTTAGCCTCGTATTAACACGATTGGCTTAGAGAAGCAAACTTGTTTCATTTGTAACGAAGCTAACCGGTCAAATCTTTCTGTGTGCCCTTCCTGCCTCGTCCTCGTCGTCGACCAGAATGTGAATGGCATCAAATACCACGCCAAGAACGGCCACCGCACACAGATCCGTGTGAGGAAGCCCTTCAAGTGTCGCTGCGGCAAGAGCTACAAGACGTCGCAGGGCCTGAGGCACCACACCATCAACTTCCACCCGCCCGTCTCCACGGAGATCCTCCGCAAGATTCAAGGCTAGAGTCCTGCGCTACCAGTCAGCTACCCCCGAAACATTAGCCCTGTCCTGACTCTCCTCATCCATCCCAAACACTAAAGGATCAAGTGCATGCTTTAAGTTGTTTTTATTGTGTCCCTTTTTTTTTTTTTTTTTTATATCCATCTTTGCGTTCTTCTTTTGCCCTATCCACGTATTATCACTTGTATTTTTGGGGAAAAAAACTAACTATGTATCTTTGTAGTATTTTTTTTTTTATTGATGTACATTTGCACATTCGTATATGCTATCATTTTTTTATTTTTATTTTTTTCCTCAACTGTTTTACTTGCATAAGGTGCTAACTGTAAAAAACAGCAAGAAAAGACAAAAAACAAATGAAAGAAAAGCGGAAAAGTAGTGGGAAAAGGAAGCGCGAGCGACTCCTGCCCTTTTATTTTAATTTTTTTTTTATTTAATTTTTTTGTTTTTCCTCCCGCTCATCTCTGAGCGGGAGGAACGAGAGCCGGGCTGTTTCGAACGCGCCGCGTCCGCTCGCTGCAGAGTCCCCGCCGAGCTTAGGTCTGTGCCTTCACAGCTACTTCTGGGAGTTTAAGAGCAAGAGTTAAGTTATACTTAGAACAGATATATTGATATATAAACAACAGACAAATATGTATGTGTACATAAAAAAAAAGTATAAAAGTATTCATGAGCATATTCATAGTTATTTTATTTTGAAGCTTTATTTTATATATATTTTTTGCCAGTGTTTTAGAGGTAGTGTTGTTTTTTTTGGGTTTTTTTAAGTGTTCATACTTACAGCACATTCTCATTCACTGACGGCCCTGGTAAGGATGGGTAGAAAGCCTTCAGGTGACCAAGCCTTCTTTTGCAGCAGCATAATCTCTTAGACAAATGCAGACATTTCTGAACTTTTAATCCAAGTAGTTATTTAGTGGGGGGGAAAAAAGAAAAAAAAAAGTCTCATATTGAGAAATATTTGTTTACAAAATCACCCTTGCTGCACTTATTAGCACCAATGCTGTATGCTATGCTGCCCTCCCTTCAATAATGTTTCACTTTTTCAGGTTATTATCCCATTGATAATCTAGTTTTAGATTTTATGGCAAACTTGAGAAATATTTATTTATGACGTCATGTGCTCAACAAGGTTACCGTAGTGACTGTTTCAGGCCAGACCCACAGAGATTTTCTGGTGTTGAGGAGCCCAATCTTGGTCTCATCTGACCCACTAGATGAGTCCCAAACAAACCTGTCAGCATGTAGATGCCTCCTAGTGGTCGTTAGGGAGACTTGATTGCCATTTATTTGCAGTAGAATAGACAGTAAATGGGCAGAGAGAGAAGCGGCAAAGAACCCCAGACGGCCGCGTCGCAGATTGAATCAGGATTGCACCGATTGCAGTTTTCTGGCCGATGACCAATCTTTAAAAAGCCTGACCAGCTGACTGGGATTATGGGCCACTACCAATTTTTTTATTTATTTTTTTGACTGAAAAGTTGCTACATATAGCAACAAAGTTGCCAAGTTAGTAACAGCGGGGCGAGTATTGTTAACTGCACATGTGCAGAAGTAACCTAGTGGGACAGCAGCTGATTTTCAGACCTTTTCAGGGGTAGATAAGATCAGTTTCTCATGTTAAGTACTGGCTGATCGTCCTAAATTAAGAAAATTGGGGAAGATTTATTGGTGCACCTGTAGTTTGAGTCCAGTTCCAGATGCATTAGTTGACTTGATTATGGGTCTAGGCGAGTTCAGGAGAAAAGCTGCTGTCTTCTAGCCATTTCCTGACTTTTTGAGATTTTCACATGAAATTGCATGTTCTCTTGTCGTTCCCATTTTGAAGAGTAGCTAATGGTGTCATTACTTTTTCCCCCCATCCCCAGGAAATCGAGGATAACTAAATAAAAGTTCAACACTAGTAAGCATAAAACAGTGAAGCGTGAATTACGAAAATGCTACATTATTTATTGTATAGGAGTGCCAATAATTATGGATTTTGTTAGTAGTCCTCGCCTAACGTGTTTTTGTGCCCCCCCTCCACCCCCCGAATGAACCTACTCAGATTAAAGGGTGGATTCTGCTAAAAAAAATAAAATTACGCTGCTGCTGCAATAAAAGCTGAATGTCTCTAAAGGCTTTTTCCGTTTCACTATCGGAGGCACTTGATTTCTGTGTGCTGTATTTTGCTGATGTTCTCTTTTTTTTTTATTCCTTCATTTTACACATTCTAAGACATTATTTTTTAACGTCGATCAGGAAGAGAGACCACGGCCCACGGCCGATGTTTGAAGCCACGTCGAGCCATTCAGCATTTCCCTCGCTCATAGTGCCAGAGCTGCCGCTCCACTCGCTCGGCCTCGGAAAGCAGGCCGAGCATCATATAATGTATTCCAGTTGCCAAGAGCTTTTGTTTTTTTTTTTGTTTTGTTTTTGTTTCCATGATCGTTGCCAACAGCTCTCCACTGCCAAACATTGACCATACCATGTGCCTGATGGGAGGGAGAAACGGGAGGTGGGTGGGGGGGGTGTGAATGATAGCGGTTTTACGGTGGAGGTCGCCAAAAGAAGTGTGGCAACGATTTCTCTTGTTCATCGCGCCTCCAAAGTGTGCATGGATGAATGTCTTCATGCATGCTTTCAGAAAAAAAATAATAAAATAGAAGAGGTTACATTTGTATTTAAGAGATTATCATCTACAACTTGTCTGTGTGTGTTGTAGAGAGCAGCATTCCAGTCCGTCTGTATGTGTGTGTGTGTTTTTTCCAAGCAGTGTCTTCATCAGCATAGGGAAGTGTTCCTGTACGTGTGTGTTTATCAGTGGTCGGGTGTTTTCACGTTTCTTTTGCCGGATCGACTCAAGGGACCGGATTGTCACGCTCTCTCGTGTTTTACTCTCAATTACCAGGGTCGAGCAATGCAGACTCGATCGTTCCTCTCATACAGACTTTATATTCCAGTCAAGGCTCCGAGTTTGAGCCGCTTCTCTTCTTCTTCTTCTTCTTCTTCTTTATGGATTCCAACGACACGCACTCCAAATCCTCCTGTTTGCAAGTTTCTTTTGGTCCAGCTCCGGGTCACGCCACCCGCCTATACTAACTGATATACTGTCACTTGGTGCGCTGCTGGATGACCAAGCACAAGTCTGCGACGACAGACTGGAGGAAGTAGAGCGGCGGGCGTATGCAGAAGAGGACTCGGGGACTCGGGAAGAGTTCAGTATACCATGTACAGTGAATGTAATGTAACACGTGTCTGTCGTCAAGTGCTTTTAAATTATATTTTCGTATGTAACGTGGAGACCAACGTTTCCTTTTTGTATGGGAGGTTTAAACAGGTTCTGAGGAAGAATAAGTTGTAGGTGATGTCAAACTGTCTTTCTCTATATAAATATATAAAAAAAAAACCCAAGCTGCTTCAATGTAAATGACTGAAAAAAAAAAACAGCAAAATAAAGTGAAAACCCCCCCACAGCTCAGACTCGTTTGCTTTTTGCTTCCCCGAATAAAGAAAAAAGAGCAACAGTCACGTTCATTTAGACGAGCGTAATTTATTCTTAAAGATCTTTTCAGTGCACACTTACACTAATTTCCAGACATTCTCACATGAGATTAGCGTTGGGACATGAGACGTACACAAAAAGGGGGCCGCACTCCTTGAACCTTTTCCCATCGCAAAAGTAAACTATGTGTTTTTTTTTTTTTTTGTTTGTTTTTTTTTTTTGTGGTCACTTTTGGGGATTTTAAGTGATCGACCAACGCAAGGCAGAGCAGAATTGCGGCATTTATGTACAGCCCCATTTACTTTGCTACCTCTAAATGAAGTACAGAAAATGATCCAGTCAGAAGAGACAAAACTTCAATGTTTCGACCTGCATGGAAAACCGAGATTCCCCCAGAACACACCGTCCCCCATGGTGAAACATGGTTGTGTCAGCATCATGCTGAGGGATTTTTTATACCTATTAGGAAAACACAGGATTGTGATACTACTAGGGACGCATCAACAACTATGTCGGCTGATGCTAGTCATTTTTTTTTAAAGTATCGGTCCGGTAAGATAGACTGGGCCGATATTAGCAGCTGATGTTTATTCAGATTTACCGTTTCTGTTTCATCAGGAGGTTGACGTTGTTGTATTTGTCCAGTCGTGTGAGGCATTACAGCAGCACAAATATTTGATATCAACTTCGGCCCAAATTTTCATATCGGTGCATCCGTAAAATTCCTGGATGGGTTTTTGCATTTGTTTCCCACAACTCTTCAGTCCAGTGTTCACTGAAGGAAGGAAAATACTATTTTCTTTCTGCTTCACAATTATGTGCTACGTTTTATTAATCACATAAAATCCCCCTTCCAAAAAATACATTAAAGTTTGTGCAAAATGTGGAAAAGTTTAAGGTGAGTGAGTACTTTTTTATTTATTTATTTATTTATTTTTTTGCAAGACGTTATAGTTTGTGAAGCCCTGGATGCAACACTGTTAACACTGCTGTAACAAGAAATTAAAAGACACGAAGCTCAAAACACACATTTAGATGTTATGAGGGCAAACAGACCTGCACACAAAGCCGCGACCTCTTCACAGTTCTAAGCTTAAAAAAAAAAAAAAAAAATCAATTAAAGTGTCTATTGACTGGAAACATCCACCACCGCCGCTTCGTGATTGACCTGTGAGAAAGTGCACCACAGGAAGTGAACCGTCCCCGATCCCGTCGTTTCATTGAGGAAGATGAAGAAGGGTGACAGCTTGATGACAGTAAATCGCCACCAGTCTTCTATATACAGTACATTCGGAATAAAGCCTTGTTTAGTGCAGTCCGGGAGAACGTAGTGCTGTTTTTTTTTTTTTTTCATTTTTCTTTTTTTGTTCCGACAATCTGACATCTTTGCAAAACACTCATACAGACAACAGGAAAAATAAAGAGAGAATCTTTACACATTCAAGTGTCTCACTCTGCATTTACACTTTTGTCGAGCTTTAAATTCAACTAAAAGATGATGCTTTTGGCTGCCGGTACGGCAAACATGACACTGTTAGCGTTATGCTTCCGCAAAAAAAAAAAAAAAAAAAAAATTCTAATTGTTTTGGCAGAAAAATAGTCTCTCGTAAACTAGAAAAATCAAACCTTAATTTTTGCTTTGATACGTTTTACCAGATTCTAAGGCTTATTAAACATTTTTACAAGGACAGGGAACCATGTGGAGGGTGTATTAACTTTCTTAGATTTAGCTCTGGAGTTAAATCTAAGCTGTTGTTTTTTTTTTTTGGATTTTCTTTTTCCTCCCCAAAACCACAGCTTTTGACTTTTTTAACAACTACCTCAGTTAACGGGAGGGGATTTTGTGATTCAGAACATAAACATGCTCTTTAAGAGGTGCTTCATTGGGGAAAATAAAACTAAAAAGCCGTGACACTTTTGCCAAATTCTGCCTCACTCGCTGTTCCTTTTGAATGAATGTTTATGCACATCCACACCTTTCAGTCCGTTACCCGCTCACAATTACCTTCTTGCAAACCATTTAGATCGCACAAAAAAAAAAAAAGAATAAAAAAAAGTGCTAAATATCGCATAATTAACGAAATAAAGCAATACCTTGACGACGTACGCGTACCTACGCGGCGTGTCGGAATTCGCCGCTTCGCCCCCTCACTCGATCTGCTCGAAGTTGAGGACGTTGCCGTCGAAGTGCGTGAGGACGTGCCTCTCGAAGAGCTGCTGCTGGCAGTTGAGGGGGAACTGCTCGGAGCAGACGGGGCACACCTTCCAGTGGCTCTCCACGTGCTGCTCGAAGCTGCGCTGCTCAAAGTGTGGCGGGAAGATCACCTCGCACAGCGGGCAGCGCTTGTGGACGTCCGTACTGCAGACGGAGGGAGGAAAAAAAAAAACGGAAAGGGCGTCATCTCAAAAATTGAGAATAGAAAACTAAAAAGGTATCGCCTTTTAATCAAAATATTCTCAGTTATTCCCTCATCAGGAGTGTTGCCTTGATTCTTTCATGCATGTTTGAGAAATCCTTTAATCTCCCATGGCAACTACTCAGCTGTGCAAAACGGTTGGAGGTGCCGAAGGTGCATTTTCTCATCCTTTCCGCCTGTGAGCAGCAGTTTCTAGCTTTTGGCTGACAAAGCAGCAACCCCCCCCCCCCCAAGGGGGCCCCATTTTAAAGCATTAAAATAGTA